TGATGAAATCAGTTACAGGCTGATCATCTAGCAGGCCAAGGTTGATGTTGAAGTCTCCAGCTAAGAGAAGGTGGTGCTTATTCATTTGTCTGTTTGTTATTAGTGCCTTTAATTTCTCACTGAAATTTGGGATGTTTGTGTGGGGTATCCGGTAAATGGCACCGATTGTTATAGGTGTCTTAAGGTTTTTTACAGTAAAATTAGCAAAAATGTATTCCCCATATTCATCACTAAAGTAAGTGGTGCTAATACAAGATAATTGGTTAGAGTAATAGATTGCAATACCACCCCCAACTTGGTATGGTCTGCAGTTGTGAATTGCTGTGTATCCTGGTAGAGGGTAGATATCTATTGTGTCCTGCTTAAGCCAGGTCTCAGTAAGAATAATGCAGGAGAAGGGTGTCTTTAGTGATTCAAGGAGTGCCAGGAGGTCATCATAGTGTTTGCTTAAGGACCTGATGTTGTAGTTAAGTACTGATAGACTTTTAGCATTGTTTAGGATAGTGCTGGCTTGTGATGCTGTGTAATAAAGGCAATTAAAAGGTATGATACACACAGAGTACACTTATTACTTACCTTAAAATATTAATATTAATGTGTGAGAGGTGAGTGGCAGGGTGTTTATTGAATAAAATCAGAATGGCACACCATCATCCTCTAACTTGGCACTTAAAGCAAGAGGCTTACGACTTCTCTTTTTATTACAGCTAACCTTAGACGCCATCGTCAATGAGAGCCAACTAGTTAACGAAAGAGTAAACAAGAGAGAGAACGAGATACAGAATTGAGACAATGTAAGAACACAAACTGAACAGGTAGTGGACGATCACTTGGTCAGGCGAAATAAATGCGCATTAATATGTGTCTACTTTTAGTTCATTCACGTCCATTTGTAAGAGTTTGTAAAACATTTACCTCAATATTTTTTTATTTTAATAATAATTACCTCACAATACAAATACTCTTACATTGTGTACAAGTTAGTTCAAACAGCAACATACCATTTTTAGAGTGAATGAAGATAATAATAATAATAATAATAATAATAATAATAATAATAATAATAATAATAATATTATTATTATTATTATTATTATTATTATTAATAAAAAGCACTAAACCCACAAGGGTCGTGAATTGCTATATACAGAGTAAAGGCATACAAAAAGAATATTTTTCTACAGTTATCCCCCAGTTTGACTAGAGAAAACGTAATTCTTCCGACACTATCTACACAGCTGCTTTGTAAACAAATCTCATATTTACATCAATTTTTATTCTGTGAGTGTATGTATCATGTTTATATGCTATGTAATGGGTTTCATATATAATTTTGAGGAAAATATCATAGATGGATTAATGAAAATGCCTATATTGATGTAAAATAAGACATTTAGTGTGCCCAAGAGTGATTATTATTAAGTAGTATTGGCGTCATGAGTAGAGAGAGACTTAGCGATTTTAATGTGTACCTGCACACCAGCATAGTGTGTACATAAGTATATTTAGGTACAGGTACACATAAGTATAATTATCAGAGTACATATAAAATATGCAGTAACTTTAACCCTTTGACTGTTGCAGCCGTATATATACGTCTTACGAGGTACCGTGTTTGACGTATATATACTCATAAATTCTAGCGGCTTCAAATCAAGCAGGAGAAAGCTGGTAGGCCCACATGTGAGAGAATGGGTCTGTGTGGTCAGTGTGCACCATATAAAAAAAATCCTGGAGCACACAGTGCATAATGAGAAAAAAAAAAACTCCAACTGTTTTTTTAATTAAAATGCCAACTTTGTAGTCTATTTTCGTATAGTATTTATGCTTGTATTCTCGTCTTTTTGGTCTCATTTGATAGAACGGAAAATATATTATAGAAATAGATGTGATTTTGATTGATTTTACTATAAAAGGATCCTGGAAATGGAGCTCAAAATACGGAAAATGTGGGATTTTTGCCGATGTTCAAAATAAACAAATGATGTCATTGTCCAATAAATATCCAACTAGCCATTCTAATATGCAGTCATGAATGGGTTGATGTTATTTATACAATTATTACAGTATTGCAGTAGTCTGCATAACAGTAAATCTTCTATTTTTTGTTTGAATAAAAATTCAAAATAGAAAACAAGAGTAATATCACAAGGGCCTGGAGACATGACTGATGAACAAAGAAAATGTTATTTTAGAGCCAGGAATGTCTGCATTGTTCATTCTGGTCCTTATTTTGAAATTGTCATATTTTTTAATTTTTGTGAAATTGGCCAAATTGCAAATTTCTGACCACGTTATTAGGTAGTTGAAATCGGTAAATGGGCAGTTTCTTGTACTCAATCGATAGAAAAAATGGAGTTCTAAAGAAATAGCTATGAGTTTGGTAGACTGGAACAATGGAATTAGCCGAAAATAGGGCTCAAAGTGGGCGAAATCGCCGATTTTTAAATATCGCCGAGGTCGCTAACTTCGCGAGAGCATAATTCCATCAGTTTTCCATCAAATTTCGGTTTTTTGGTGTCATTACAATCGGGAAAGGATTCTCCATCATTTCGTAAGAAAAAATATTTTTTTTTTTTTTTTAAATTTTGCGACACCAGGAGACACCTCAGGATTGGGGGTTGCGACAGTCAAGAGGTTAAAACACTTGATATTTTGGAAAGTTTCCTGACATAATAGATGTGGTCACGGAAAATGTAAACAAACCGGGTGGGGGCGCCGTATTTGAAAGACCACTTGCCATATAGCAAATTTTGGTCATAATTTGACATCGCCATATTAGCGGAATGCCGTAAGGCGAAACGCCATAAAGCGGGGCCTTACTGTACATGTATATGGGATCTGTGCATGAGGATCAACAAATGGCAACTTTTTTTGGAAACCAGTCATTTCACAGCCAAAAACATCAATAAGAACACTAACTACATCTTCAAAAGAGACATTCAAATCCCTAACACTATATCCACAAAATCCTGAACTATAGTTTAATCTGTGACCTGAAGCTATTCCTAGATTTCAGTAGGTCCTACGGACATTGCACAATCAATAAATCATTGATGTGTTTCACATATTATTCAACCTATGTAGAAATTTAATGCAGATAAGAGACCCAAAAATATTTAAGTGTACCAGTAGAAGTCAAAGCTAGTCCAATAGTGCACTCATTAAACTGAAAACACTTCTTAAAGAAAACTGCCAAGATTATGTATTCATACCATTACCAATGTAATTCATTCAGTTATATGAATGCAACACGTAACTCGAAACCATTTTCCCCATAAGAAATAATGGAAATAAAATTAATCCGTTCCAGACACCCAAAAATATTAAAATAAAATATTTTTTTCAAATTAAATAAAGATTTATATACTGAAATCAATGAGAAATCAAGTACATGCATATAAAAAATAATAATAACATTACACTTACCTTTACTGAAGATTTCTGGGTGGATGGAAGACGGGAGGAGGGGATAGGGGGAAGGTGTACACTATTGTTTGGAAGGAGAATCTCCTTCCATTAGGACTTTAGGTAGCAAGTCCTTATCTGGGGTTATTTCCCTTCTTCTTTTAATGCCACTGGGAACAACTTAAGGGTCACTGGACCCCTGTCGCACAAAATATCTGTCCAGAGAGGTCTTTTTCTGGCGTTTCTTTAAGATTTTCCTGAAGTGGGACACAACACTGTCATTGTACATGTTGCAGATATGGCTTGTTTCAGCTTGGTCAGGGTGATACTTTTCAACAAAACTTTGTAACTCATTCCACTTGGCACAAATCTCCTTAATCTTTGAAGAAGGCACCTCATCCACTCCCTCTTCGTCCTCCTCCTCTGAAGCAACTTCCTCGGCTGTGGTCTAATGCTGTTACAGTTGAAGCTCTTGCAGTTTGTCAGTGGTTAGCTCTTCCCTGTGGTCCTCCACCAACTCTTCCACATCCCCGTCACTCACCTCCAACCCCATGGACTTGCCCAATGCCACAACACCTTCCACAACAGGCAGAGGGTCGACAGGGACAGGGTCTGCCTCAAACCCTTCAAAATCCCTCTGGATCGTGTTCCTCACTTTATTTACCAAAGGGCTTGCACTAGCTTTCCTTGGGTCCATGATGACTTATTTAGCAGTTGCAAGCACAAAAAACAATGGATTATTATGAAATGTATTGTATGAACCCGCGGGGTGATGGTCACGTGTTGGTAAACAATGGCACACTGAGCATGAATGGCGTGGGAGACTAGCTTGGTGTGCGCGGTGATGGGCAGACAGGTACTGGACGGTCGCCGAAACACGAGTCTAATCACGAAACTCAAGGCCAAATTTTGCCAAAAAAACTCGCCGAAGGTCGAATTTCACGAAAGTCGAGGCTGCCGAAACTTGAGGGTCCACTGTACTGTAAATAAATTTTAAAAAATCCTACCTAAATTTTAGTTCCTGACTCAATCAAATTATATATTTATCAATCCAATGAAATTAAACAGTGTAAAAGCTTTCAGTATTGTTAATCATTTTTAACTAACAGTGAGTAACTTCTCTGCAGATTCCAACCACTCATATCAAGTATTTGTATCAACCACTAGAGTATGTTATATATATATCTTTTTTTTTTTTTTTCAATAAGTCGGCCGTCTCCCACCGAAGCAGGGTGACCCAAAAAAGAAAGAAAATCCCCAAAAAGAAAATACTTTCATCATCATTCAACACTTTCACCTCACTCACACTCATATATATATATCTATTATCATATAAAAAATTACAGTACTTATTCTATGCTACTGTATCACATGTCTGTTTCAAATTCAATCATCTAAATATTTAAGGCTATGGGTGGATGGTAGTAGTACTGTACCACCTTGGATGATTACTGTCTATCAACCTACTTGCATAAGAGGATTTGGTTGCTTTACATGAAATGGGAATGTCAGTTTACAGATAGTCTTTCAATTCTAGTAAGTACAGTGCTGTACATGTAAAATTGCTGGCATTAAGAATGAAGTTATCTTACATCAACCCCTTCCTTCTTTGTAGTTTTTTCTCCTACCAACAGTCCCTCAGCACTGATGCCGCCTTGCCGACGACGGTACTTTCGTAATTCTTTACTCTCCTCCAGCTTTGCCCTGTAATGCATTCAGAATATGGTCATATACAGTACAGTATTATTAAAGACAAGAAATTCCCCTTAGCACTGTTCCAATGACTAGGGAACACCATAGTACAACACCCAGCATTCCAAGTGCATTGTTATAGTATTATCTTACCCTAGACTGTAGTGTCATAATGAGCTCATGTGATCTGGTAACAAATAAACACATGAAGCAGCCAGATTTGTAAACAAGGGAAATATGAAAGGTAGGGTAAGTTCACCACTTAACCTTCATTGTCGTTTTGAACCACTGGAAACTGAGGTGTATTTCTGTGTTATGTTTCAGTGTCATTACTGCATTTTATCCTTGAAAACATGTTCCAAAACAGTAATGAGTTACAAGGATTATAATAATGCAAAGGTTAAAAGGTAAACCATTAGTTTAAACACAAAACTGATCATTTAATGGCAGACTGATGTTGATGAGAAATCATCTTTAGTCACTAAAACAATCTACCTCATACTACAGTGGAGATAATCTGAGCACAACATGACAGTGCTAAGTAAATCCTATCACTTCTATTACACTAACTCACAAGTGCAGTGATGTCATGAAGATTTTAGAAAGTCAGCAGAATATAAGTTTTAGCAAGATGACCATTGAAAATTTAGACACATGTGCAAACATCTGGCTATCTTTATTGTAGACGTTTCGCCATCCAGTGGCTTTATCAATACAGATACAGATGTTTGCAAGTGTCTAAATTTTCATCTTGTCGGTATTGTATACCATTCTTGTACAAGATGACCATTGTAGTCAGAACGCCAAGAACTTGTTCAAGGATTTAGACAAAAAAGTGACTTCAAAAATGTTAAGTTTTAGTGCTAGTCAAATTATCTGAAAGATCTTAGAGGCATAAGAACATAAGAATGGAGGAACACTGCAGAAGGCCTACTGGCCCATGCAAGGTAGGTCCTTATCAAAACGACATCTACCTAAAGCTACCCAAGAAATAACTCCCGTACCCAATGACACCAATCAAACCCAGCCCCTCCCACTCATATATTTGTCCAATCTCTTCTTACAGCTACACAAGGTCCTAGCCTCTATCACCCTACTGGGAAGATTGTTCCATGCATCTACAACTCTGTTAGAAAACCAGTACTTACCTATGTCCTTTCTAAATCTAAATTTATCCAACTTAAATCCATTATTTCTGGTTCTTACCTGGTTCAACACCCTCGGTATTTTATTAATATCTCCTTTGTTTATGCCTGTCATCCACTTATACACTTCAATGATATCTCCCCTCATTCTACATCTCTCCAGAGAGTGGAGATTTAAGGCTTTAAGTCTATCTTCATACAGGAGATTCCTTACACAGTAAATCATTTTAGTCATTCTTCTCTGTATGTTCTCTAATGAGTCTATATCCATCCTGTAGTAAGGGGACCAAAACTGAGCAGCATAATCTAAATGAGACCTCACTAGTGCTGTATAGAGCTGTAAAATAGCTTTTGGACTTCTGTTACTTATACTTCTTGAGATAAATCCAAGTAATCTGTTAGCCTTGTTGCACACACTAAAGCACTGCTGTCTTGGCTTTAGATTTCTGCTTACCATGACTCTCAAGTCTTTTTCACATTCTGTATGATCAAGCTCTACTTCACCTAGATTATAGCTTCGAGGGTTATTTTCATTACCAAGGACTAGTACCTTACACTTATCCACATTGAACTTCATCTGCCATTTTTCAGACCAAGACATTAATTTGTCCAAATCCTCCTGGAGTTCATTGCTATCCTCCTCAGAATGAATTATATGGCCTATCTTTGTATCATCAGGAAATTTACTCATGTCACTCGTAATCCCTTCATCAAGGTCATTAATGTAAATAATGAACAAGAGAGGGCCTAAAACTGATCCTTGTGGAATGCCACTAGTGACTAATCCCAATTCAAATTTCACCCCATTAATGGTAACTCTCTGCTTTCTATTGATAAGCCATGCCGCTATCCATGCTAGAACTTTACCTCCTATACCATGAGCTGCCACTTTTCTTAAGTCTCTTGTGAGGTACTCTATCAAAGGCTTTACTAAAATCCAAATAAACAATATCATATTCTTTATCACTGTCAACTGCCTCAAATGTTCTATTAAAGAACGTCAGTAAAATTGTCAGGCAGGAACGACCTCTCGTGAATCCATGCCGAGATTCATTTATCAAGATATGCTCTTCAAGGTGACTTCTAATAATGTCAGCTATAATTAATTCTAATAACTTGCCCACTATAGATGTCAGGCTTATTAGACGGTAATTTGAAGGAGTGGACTTATCCCCTGATTTGAGTATAGGAACCACATTTGCCATCTTCCACAACTCTGGCACAACGCCGATAAGGATGGACGCATTAAACACACTCGTTAATGGCTGACTAAGCTCCATCTTGCATTCCTTAAGTACCCTGGAAAACAGCTCATCGGGTCCCGGGGACTTAATTTGCTTCAGTTTGTCTATCTGTTTAACAACCATGTCCTGCGTAACAGTAATATTATTTAATTTAAATTCATCAGGAACTAAATAATTGTTAGTTACTGGAATCTCATTTACAATTCCTGTGTAAAAACTGACAAAAAATAGTCATTAAATAAGGAACACATTCCCAGTTCGTTATCCATCAGCTGTCCATTCCCAATTTTCAGAGGTTCTACTTTTTCCTTCACCTTCTTCCTATACACTTGAAAGAACCCCTTTGGATTAGTCTTTGATTCATTAGCAACTCTAATTTCATAGTCACATTTAGCCTTTCTAATCCCCTTTTTTAGTTCTCTTTTAAGCTGAACATATTGGTCAGTAAGGTTAGCCTCTCCTCTTCTGATGCACCTATAAATTCCCTTTTCTCCCCTAATAGATGCTTTAGCCTCCTATTAACCCATTTGGGATTGTTATTACAGTATTAGACCTAATTTCTCTCTGGGGAATGTATATACTCTGAGCACGGTGTACATTATTAAGAAAAAAATCATAAAAGCAGATCCCTTCATAATCATAAGTAAGATCATCGTCAATATAATCATTAGCTAGATAACCCCAATCAAGATTAGACAGATGTTCCCTAAGTCCACTATAATCAGCAGAACGAAAATCGGATTTTTACTGTATTATCATTATTCTTGTATTCCCAGTTAATGCTAAAAGTAATGGATTTGTGATCACTTGCGCGAAGCTCTTCAGTGATCTCCAGATTATTTACGGGTTTTTTCCATATTTGACAAGACTAGGTCTAGCACATTATTACCCCTGGTAGGCTCTGTTACACACTGCTTCAGAAAACAGTCCTGAACTGTTTCCATAAAGTCACTGGACTCTAGATTACCGGTCAAAGAATTCCAGTCAATTTGATTAAAGTTAAAATCCCCTGCTATCAATATGTTATTGTCTAGAAGCCCTAACAATTTCGTCCCGAAGTCTCCCTCTATCATGATCCAAGCCTGGAGGTCGGTATATTACACCTAGAATTAGTTTTTCTTGACCTTCTACAAACTCTACCCAAACAGATTCTGTTACTGTTCCATCTATTTTTATACCTGTTTTTATTCATTTCAATTCAATTCAAGTTTATTCTCTATAAGGGTTACAATGTGGGGTTTACAGGTTTTGGGTATTGTGTGGTTTACATGTTATAAAATACTAATTACAGAGGGGGGCCACTAGGACACCTAGCATGGCTAGGCATTTCTCGAACATATAATGCAACTCCTTCCCCCTTCCCATTACATTTATCCACATGGAAGAGCTTAAACCCTCGAATATTACACTCAGCAATCATATCCTGACTCTTTATATCATACCAGGTTTCAGTTAATGCAATGACATCAAAGTTCCCAGCACATGCTACCAAACGTAGTTCATTAATCTTACTTCTTGCACTTCGACTGTTAGCATAAATTACCATCATATGTTTTTTTTTCTGCACATTTTTCCTATCCATCTTTGTTTTTACACAATTTCTGAAATTATCATTACCCAGAGTTACTCCATGACAGTTACTATTAAAATTCTTAATATCAGAGCATAAGTCAATATATCCATACTCATTATTTATCATTTCTAAACCCATACCTCTTAACTAATCCTAGTTTAAAGTCCTAACAACCCCCTCAACTGAGCTAGCAAGAAAACCCACACCTGCCCTGGATAAGTGAACCCCATCCCTGGCATACATGTCATTTCGGCCATAGAAGTTGTCCCAGTTGTCAATGAAAGGTACTGCATTATTCTTACAGTGTTTATCCAGCCAACAATTAATACCAATTGCTCTGGACAACCATTCATTTCCAACACCCCTTCTTGGCAAAATGCCACATATAACAGGGCACCCCCCTTCTTCCTAATTATGTCTATTGTTGTCCTGAACCTTCTAACTAAATCCTCACTTCTATGCTTGCCTACATCATTGCGTCTAGCACTGAGGCAGATAATAGGATTGATCCCATTACCGTTCATGATGTTGTCAAGCCGGCTAACAATATCCTCCATCCCAGCCCCAGGAAAGCAAACCCTGTGTCTCCTACTCCTGTCCATCAAGCAGAACGCCCTATCCATGTACCTAACCTGGCTATCCCCAACAACAACAATATTCTTACCTTCCTTGGTGTTGTTCATCGTGAAGTTTCCAGTAGTCGACTCACATTCGTCGGGTAGCACAGAGAATGCATTAGATATTTCCACAACAGTTTCCACAGCAGTCTCTTTCTTCTTCATCGTTTCTACCTTTCCATTCATCTTCTTGATCGTCAACTGCGTTCCATGCTGTCCAGCCACTGTCCAGTTTCCCTTCTTGACCTGAGGACTCAGAACAGGAGGACTGCTACAAATCCTCTTGTTTTCCTCGGTCAATTGCCGTATCTCCATCTTCACTACCCTCAATTCTTCCTTAACCCTTTGAGGGTTTTCGTCGTACTAGTACGTCTTACGCGTAGGGGTTTTTGACGTACTAGTACTCATAAATTCTAGCGGCCTCAAATCTAGTGGGAGAAAGCTGGTAGGCCTTCATATGAAAGAATGGGTCTATGTGGTCAGTGTGCACAGTCTAAAAAAAATCCTGCAGCACACAGTGCATAATGAGAAAAAAAAAACTTTGACCATTTTTTTGGAATAAATCAGCGACTTTGCAGTGTATTTTTGTATGGTATTTATTGTTGTATTCTAGTTTTCTTGGTCTCATTTTATAGAATGGAAGGCATATTACAGAAATTGAGATGATTTTGACTGGTTTTACAAAGAAAGGTGCCTTGAAATTGAGCTCAAAGTAGCAGAAATGTTCGATTTTTACCAAACTTCAAAAGTAAACAAATCGTGCCAAGCGTGCAATACACGTCAACTGGTGAGTCTAATATTCTTTCACAAGTGCACCAATAATATTTATACCATTTTTTACACTAATGCAGTAGTCTGCATAACAGTAAATCTTATATTTTTTGTGAAAATAAAAATTCAAAGTGGAAAGCAAAAGAATATAAGAGGGGCCTTGAGACATGACTAATGACTAGAGGAAATGTCGTTTTAGTGCCAGGAATGTCTTTCTTGTTTATTCTGGACCCTATTCGGAAATTGGCATCTTTTGAAATTTGTGTGAAATTGGCAAAGGCAGGTGAAATTGCCGACCTAGAAAATGTACAGAGAACTTTCACGGCGCGCATAACGGAGATAAAACACCTCAATTACTGGGAGCGCTTGAGGTTTCTAAACCTGTATTCCCTGGAACGCAGGAGGGAGAGATACATGATTATATACACCTGGAAAATCCTAGAGGGACTAGTACCGAACTTGCACACGAAAATCACTCACTACGAAAGCAAAAGACTTGGCAGACGATGCACCATCCCCCCAATGAAAAGCAGGGGTGTCACTAGCACGTTAAGAGACCATACAATAAGTGTCAGGGGCCCGAGACTGTTCAACTGCCTCCCAGCACACATAAGGGGGATTACCAACAGACCCCTGGCAGTCTTCAAGCTGGCACTGGACAAGCACCTTAAGTCAGTTCCTGATCAGCCGGGCTGTGGCTCGTACGTTGGTTTGCGTGCAGCCAGCAGCAACAGCCTGGTTGATCAGGCGCTGATCCACCAGGAGGCCTGGTCACAGACCGGGCCGCGGGGGCGTTGACCCCCGAAACTCTCTCCAGGTCTCCAGGTAAACTGTACTGGATAGTTGAATTTCATAAATGAGTGGTTTCTTGCACCCATTCGATAGGAAAAATGGAGTTCTAGCGAAATATTCATGTTTTTTGTCGACTAGTACAGTGAAATTGGCCGAAAATGGGGCTCAAAGTGGCAAAATCGCCGATGCGTAAACATCGCCGAGACCGCTAACTTTGCGAGAGCATAATTCCGTAAGTTTTCTATCAAATTTCAAACTTTTGGTGTCTTTATGATCGGGAAAAGATTCTCTATCTTTTCATAAGAGAAAATAATTTTTTTTTTTTTTTTAAATTTGGCCGACCCTGAGAACGAGTTTCGGAGAGGACCTGTCGACCCTCAAAGGGTTAAGATGCTGGTAAAGTTGCTAGATGGAGGGCATCTTGATTCAATCCAAGGAGAGTACACTAATTGTCCTCATTGAGCTAAGTACATGAAAAGGCTCTGGCAGCATGTACTATTCCAACCCAGCTAACTTATCTACATGGCAGTGAATGCAGCGAATAGCTGCACCCTTGTCCAGGCACACCACTCAGTCTGGACATTCTGTTCTACTATCTTTTACATATCTGCTGTTCAAGCACAATAAGGTTCTCTGTAAGGGTAGGGGCAGACTTGATGCTGCTCTTGGCTGTTTTTGGTTAGTGTTCACTCTGCTCTAACCCCTCTCCCAGCAAAAATGAAAATGAATGATTTAAAAAATCTTTATATCCATACAGTATACAGCTGTATACTTTTGACATATCGTATATACTCAATGGAAAGTGGCTAGTTACGCAGAGCATTTCAGGCAGTCGTAAAATTAACTTACAACTACAGTGGAACCTCAAAAATCGAACTGCTCCCAACTCAACCAATTATGTAAGTGTATTTTTGTAAGTGCTTTTATAAGTATATTTTTGAGGGTCTTAAATGGTCTAATCTAATTTACATTATTCCTGATGGGAATAAATTCGTTCGGTAGTGGCACTCGAACAGCCTTCTGGACCGAAGAAAGTTCGATATTTGAGGTTCCACTGTATTAGACAATATTTAATCAGCTACATTATTAGAATGCTATGGTTTACAGTACGTATATGACATTGTAACATTTTATATAGCACTGGTACAGTATAACATCTGTAATAGTAAATACAGAAATGAAATGAAATATAAGAAAATATATTTGTGTCACAAAGATTTCTTACATGAAAAACCTGAAGTTATGCCAAAAAATAATTGAGCAGACTTAAATGAGGAGTAATACTGATAGAATGTAAAATTATGATGCACATACTTATAACATGAGGTGTTTTATCTCCGTTATGCGTGCCATGTACAGAGAACCTTCATGGCATGCATAACGGAGATAAAACACCTCAATTACTGGGAGCACTTGAAGTTCCTGAACCTGTACTCCCTGGAATGCAGGCAGGAGAGATACATGATTATATACACCTGGAAAATCCTAGAGGGACTAGTACCAAACTTGCACACGAAAATCACTCTCTACGAAAGCAAAAGACTCGGTAGATAATGCAACATCCCCCCCCAATGAAAAGCAGGAATGTCACTAGCACGTTAAGAGACAACGCAATAAGTGTCAGGGGCCCAAGACTGTTCAACTGCCTCCCAGCATACATAAGGGGGATTACCAATAGACCCCTGGCTGTCTTCAAGCAGGCACTGGACAAGCACCTGACCAGCCGGGCTGTGGCTTGTACGTTGGATTGCGTGCAGCCAGCAGTAACAGCCTAGTTGATCAGACCCTGATCCACCATGAGGCCTGGTCACACCCCAGGCCGCGGGGGCATTGACCCCCGGAACTCTCTCCAGGTAAACTCCAGGTAAACATGCATGAGATACACTATATATTGCCCTTATTAGAAAGAAAAGAAACTGTAATGGTTTATTAGTTGACACTGTACTCTGTTGCCACTGAATGCCTATAATGATTATATGAGAGACTGAAAGATATAACAAAGTGAATTCTTTGTGCAATATGTAAGTTTGTTTGTATTTTTGAAACCCAAAGAGACTCACTCTTCTAATATATTCTTAGCAGTATTAATTCCACTTAAACACTCTTAGAAGAAGAAGGCTTTATTCCATTAGTAACTAGAGGATTAACCTGGAGTTTACCTGGAGAGAGTTCATGATAATACACCACCTAAAAATAAATCAAGTAGTGTGTCTTATTAACAGTGGAATCCTTTTAAAGTTCTTCCTCAAAATGCATGGCATAACAGTTTAACTCGTAGGTTTCTGTAAATATGACATATATAAGTTCTTAAGTTTAAACTTAAAAAATATTTTTTATTTCTGCCAGTACATGTACAAGGTATACAGTCCTAGCTGACATCAATGACATACTATTATATAGAAAGACCCTTGTTATGCTGAACATTTCGGGCAAATTTGATCAGTTTTGTCCCAGGATGTGACCCACACCAGTAGACTAACACCCAGGTTACTACTAGCCTGGTTTCTCGCCACTACCTTCTAAGTAACAGATGACTTACAAAAGAGAATCTTCCTCATTACTCGAATCATCATCTTCATCTTTCTTCTTTCTAAAATTCTTATTTTTCACTTTCTTGAATGCTATCTTTGGTTTGTCATTAACAGCCTTAGACGCCATAGTCTTCTTCACATTAAATATGCTTTCTCTCCTCCCTGGTGACTATTAAAGATGCGTTATATCACTCGTCATGCTAGTAGTTACCATACATTTCAGTCCTGCAAAATATAAATTTATTCACGTAAAAATAGTAGCTAGGAAAATAATGTCTAGTTTGTTTGTTGGGTTTATAAGAGCCACTGCCGGCTTACGCCGTATTGAGCCCGACTTCCCGATTTATTATTTATTTATTTACAATTTGAGCACACATACAGAGGTACAAAAAAATACAGATAAGAGCAGCATGCCAAAGCCACTTATACTATGCATAGCATTACGGGCTGGCTTAAAATTAACTTAAGATTAACTAAGCAATGATGAAATCAGTGATAAAACATTAATGTAAACAGATAACTATAAAGCACAAATGAGTATTACAAAGACAGGTCATATGGTTGCATGCATTGTTGTACATTCAGTCGAATGGAGTATTCTGTTAGGTAGTGTATTTAAAAAATAATAAAGTTAGATTGGGTTTTAGGTTTAACATTTATGTGATATAATTGTGAGAAACATTTAAGATATACAATTTATAAGGTTCAGTTATTCAGTATTTATTTGGTTTTGGGTGAGTAAGTGATCTTTGAGAAGAGACTTGAATTTATAAACAGGTAGTGTTTCTTTTATATTTACAGGTAATGAATTCCAGATTTTAGGGCCTTTTATGTGCATTGAGTTTTTGCATAGCGTGAGATGGACACGAGGAACATCAAAGAGTGATCTGTGCCTTGTGTTATGGTCATGTGTTCTGTTGAGGTTGGCAAGGAGATGTTTGAGGGGAGGGTTAATATCAGAGTTAAGTGTTCTATGTATGTAATAGGTGCAGTAATAAGTATGGATGTTTTGTATGGTGAGTAGGTTGAGTGTATTGAATATTGGTGGAGTGTGCTGCCTGTAGTGAGAATTTGTAATCATTCTAACTGCAGCCTTTTGTTGGGTAATTAGTGGTCTGAGATGGTTACTTGTTGTTGAGCCCCATGCACAAATTCCAAATTTTTATTTCCTTGCAAGTTTACATTGACATTCTCTAATTACAATAATGATTTGCATTGCAAAAACAGCCACTATCATGCCATGGCATAATGGACAGACTAAATTAATGGCTTACAGACTACTAAATACTAGAGAAATTGATCATAGTTTGTTTAAGTTACCCATCTGATTTTATTTAAAGCAGACAGTAAGTTGACCCAAGTTACAATCTAGGGATATTACATTGGGACAATTTGAAAGTATTTTGTTGGTTGTGTATATCAATAGTAAATATTTAAGATATATTACTGGAATACAGTATAATATTGAGCGTTGGTGAAAGTAGTTTACAGTACGAGAATGCTACAATATTGTGTACGGCAGTATAGTTTTGTGCAGGTATTTATACTACAATAAGTTAAGGACCCCAATGGAAATAAGTTAGACAGTCCTCGATGACGCACTGACTTTCTTGGGTTATCCTGGGTGGCTAACCCTCCGGGGTTAAAAATCCGAACGAAATCTTATCTTATCTTATCTTATGAACTTTGGGTATTTAAATTTTGATGTGTTAAGATTTAGGTAGTTAGGAGATCTTAATTTAAGTATTGAGTATTTAATATTAAGTTTAGTTTGAGAAGATGGTTTTTGAGAAGAGACTTAAATTGATATTCAGACCAGGTTACTTTAGTATTTACTGGAAATGAGTTCCAAATTTTGGGGCCCTTTATGTGCATAGAGTTCTTACATAGTGTGGTGTGGACACGGGGTACATCAAAAAGTGATGTGTCTTGTGTTATGGTCGTGCGTCCTATTAAGGTTTGTGAGGAGAAGTTTGATTGAAGGGTTTATGTTTGAGTGTAATGTTGTATGTATGTAGTAGGTGCAAGAATAATTATGAATGTTCTTTATGGTGAGTAGTTTTAGACTTGAATATTGGTGGAGTATAATTTCTGGAGTGAAAATTTGTTATCATACTGACTGCAGCCTTTTGCTGGTTATTAGTGGTCTTAGGTGATTTAATGTTGTTGATCCATGCACAAATTCCATAGGTGAGATAAGGGTAGATGAGTGAGTGACACAGTGCAAGGAGAGCTGATTGTGGGACATAGTACCGTATCTTTGATAGTATGCCAACTGTCTTAGAGATTTTCTTGGAAATTTGTTGTATATGGGTCTGGAATTTAAGGCTACTGTCAAGGTGGATTCCTAGGAATTTTCCCTCTGTGCGTCTTGTGATGGGTGATCCGTTTAGCGTTATGTTAGCTAGAACATTTGTGGCTCTATTTCCAAACTGAATGAAATAGGTTTTGTCAGTATTGAGTGTAAACTTGTTAGTCATCATCCAGGCAGATATTTTCTGCAATTCAGCATTAACAGTGCTGGTCAGTATGACTGGGTTTGGGTGGGAGAAGACGTATGTAATGTCATCTGCAAATAATATGGGTTTGAGCAGCTGTGATGCATTCGGTAGGCCACTGATGTAAATGAAAAAGAAGAGAGGGCCAAGAACACTTCCTTGTCGGACCCCAACTTTAATTGGTTGTGTGGAAGAATTAGCTTCATTTGTGTACATATATTGGCTTCTGTTACTAAGGTATGACTTTAGGTATTTGAGGGAGTGCCCTCTTATACCATATTCGAATTCAAGTTCAAATTTATTTATTTATTTGCAAGTAGTACATTGAGATTATGTATTTACAATAATGGGTTGCAGTGCAAAGAGCGCCTCTATTATGCCTAGGCATTATGGGCCGACTTAATTTAATGGCTTACCGACTACTTAACACTAGAGAAATTTAGCATAGTTGCACAATAGTTCTATTTATTATAAATGAATCTAATTTATATAAACCAAAGGATATATTCATATTTTCAAAAATGCTTTTCATGAAACATGACTCAATTATATTCCTGTCTACAATGGACAATTGTTCCAAAGTAATGTGCAGCAAATCATGGGCGACTGTATCAAAAGCTTTAACGTAAATCAATGAAGATACCCAGGGGGATTTCTTTTTCTTGACTCACGAAATCGTAATGACACGATTGCAAACAAACCATACCACGGGAGGGACTGAACCCGCGGTCAGAGAGTCATGTTGACGGCTGTGGAAAATTACATTTATCTGAATGTATCATTATATACATAACAGTAAATGAACAAAGATAATTATTATTTATCAGTTAGACAAGTAGGAATTTGGGACACCTAGGTCGCAAAAAATGTCCCCCTTCGATACCTACCACTGTCATAACCACAAGTTGCTCTGGACCTATTAATTACACATGAAAAATACATCACCAGGAATGCTGGTAAATATATAAATTTGTGGACTATATTAAAATTAATAAATGATTATATATATACACATTTATATAACAGAAGGAGAATATATCTTAATCATAACACTCACCAATTTTTCAAATTCAAATTCAAAGTTTATTCTCTATAAGGATTACAATGCTGAGTTTACAGAAATTTGGTTATTGTGTGGTTTACATGTAGTAAAATAGTGATTACAGAGTGTACCACTAGAATGCTTAGCATGGCTAGAGACTGGAGATTAAGGTGTATCATACTCAGAAAACCTCACTGTCTAAATTTATGAAAATACTGGCCAGAATTAAACATAAACAGACTTATCTGAGGTTCCTGGAGCTGTCTTGTCCAGTCGCCTGATACTCAAATTATGCAGGAATGCACATCCAACAATTTCGGCTCCTATTTGAGAGGTGTCAGCCCAAATTTAACCTCTAGAGCAAGAAAAATTCTTCCCATTACTAATGTCTGTTACTCAATTCAAAAACAAAAATGGCGAGTCTCTTGCGCATGCGCAGAGCCTCCCTGTCGGCTCCATTCTCTTCTTTTAAAAATACACTTTTAATCAAGTTTATTTACACAGCATAATATTGGGAAATTATTTTCCACAACGGCATTGAGGGGACTTGAGCTAGAGTTCGTCACGGCCACGCTAGCTGGAGATTCGTCTGTAAAAACTTGCATGTGTGGTCGCAGTGGCGCCTATGCTAACCTTCCTATGGTGTAGAAATATACCTAGTTGGACGAATCTTATTGTGGCTAGCTGGTCCAGTGGCTAACGCGAGGGTCTTGAGTTTTGAGACTCTCTGACCGCGGGTTCAATCCCGCCCGTTGTATGGTTTTGGATTTCTTTTTTCTCGAGAGCGGTGTATATTAGTTCTAGCATGTGTATAATAGCATCATTAGTGCTTTTATTAGTCCTGAATCCAAACTGAGAGGGGTTGAGTATGTCTTGAGAGACGAGGTAGGAATAGATCTGCCTATGAATTAATTTTTCGAAGATTTTAGAAAGCAGAGGTAAGTTAGATATTGGTCTATAGTTATTCAAGTCTGTTTGATCTCCTCCTTTGTGGATCGGGGTGACCCTCGCTATTTTGAGAATTGATGGGAAGGTGGAGGATTCGATGGATTTGTTAAAGAGTGTTGCAATGATTGATGACAGTACTTGAGAGTTTTTTTTGTACATAAAAGGTGGTAAGTTATTTATATCTCCTGCTTTGTTTTTAAGGGTGTTGATGATGAGCGAGACTTCTGTTGGGTTGGTTGGAGCTAGAAATAGTATGTTCGGATAGGTACCCGTGAGGTAGTCTGATGGACGGGTGTATGAAGTTGGGATTTTGCTCGCTAGATTCTTTCCTATGGTGGAGAAGAAAACATTGAGTCTGTTTGCTGTTTCAGTTGGTGGGAGTAGGGGTTCATCTGATTTTCTTAATGTGAGTGTTTTTTTTTTTTGGAAATCTTTTTAGTTCCTAAAATTTCAGATAGTTTTTTCCAGGTCTTTTTCATATCACCTTTTCTGTTATGTAATCTGTTCTCATAATACAATTTTTTTTGACCTTCTTTTCAGGCTGGTAAGGACTGACGAGTACCGTTTAGAATAGTCTCTGGTTATTTGGCCTATATAATAATAATTTTAGATATGCTTTTAATATGGTGAAGAGAGATGTCTTGCCTGCCGTTCGGGATCGGTTCCCCAGTCTTTTTCCTTTCATTTCAGCCGGCTACATCAAACCCTCAATTCTTTTGTTTGGCGAATGTGAAATTCTCTCATCAGAGGGTGTTCAGCAGGGTGATCCACTCGCTCCACTTCTCTTCTGCTTGGCAGTAAGAGAACTAACTTCCAGCCTACTCAGCGAGCTCA